ATAGTCTACTTTGATTTTGGTTAAGGTAGATTATCATTTACAGTGTAATCAGTGAGGGGATTCTGCAGACTGTTGAGGCCTCCTGATGAGTCGGTGAAACTTCGACGAAACAGTTTGTCACAGCCCCTCGTTTGTTGTCCTCTTCTCTGTCTCTGCCTATGGTTTACCGGATAGTTCCGTTTGTGACGATATATATTTTTCAGCCTCCTGATGAGTCGGTGAAACTCCGACGAATCAGTTTGTCACAGCCCCTCATTTGTTGTTCTCTTCTCTCTCTCTGCCAACGGTTTACCGGGCAGTTCTGTTTGTGACGATATATATATATATATATATATTATTCTATTTGACGATATATATATATATATATATATATATAGCCTCCTGATGAGTCGGTGAAACTCCGACGAAACAGTTTGTCACAGCCCCTCGTTTGTTGTCCTCTTCTCCCTCTCTGCCTACGGTTTACCGGGCAGTTGTATTTGACGATATATAAGATATATATATATATTATTTGGCTGTGTAGCATGGCGTTCGCGTTCACGCTAGCGAATATGATCCTTCGTGGGGGAACCGAACGCCGCATAAAATCGATCGAAAGCAAACTTTCTTTTTTATATTATTTTCTATTCTATAATTAATTTTCTTATTCCGTACTCATATCCTAGAAAGAAAGAAAAAACAGAAATCGAAAAGAAAATAAATTGGAAATTAAAAAGAAAAGTAAAAACAGGCTGTATCATTTCATGTTCGAGCGGGAGATTCATTCCCATTTGGCGTTCCCGCAGAAGATTCATTCTCATTCCCATTTGGCGTTCCCGCGGAAGATTCATTCTCCATTTCCACATTTTGGGAGTAGTGGATCACACACCCTCTCCCTCTCCCTTTCTCTCAGAGATCTCTCAGAGAAAGAGAGGGAGAGAGAGGGAGCGGGCGTGCGGCCCACTACTCCCAAAATGTGCAAATGGAGAATGAAATCTTCCGCAACAACGCGGGAAGATACAGCCGACATATCATATGCATGTCGGGGAACAGAATGAATCTGCAGGCATGCGGGCCGCACATCCTCTCTCTCTCTCTCTCTCTCTCTCTCTCTCTCTCTCTCTCTCTCTCTCTCTCTCTCTCTCTCTC